AGAGAGAGAGAGAGAGAGAGAGAGAGAGAGAGAGAGAGAGAGAGAGAGAGAGAGAGAAAAGATGTCGTGGTGTACTATTGAATCGGATCCAGGAGTGTTTACAGAGTTGATAATGGAGATGCAAGTGGAAGGGGTTCAGGTGGAGGAACTTTACAGCCTGGACTTAGAGTCATTGGAGCAGCTATGGCCTGTGTACGGATTGGTCTTCCTGTTCAAGTGGCGTCCAGGAGAGAAGGACACGCGTCCGGTTCTCAGGGAGCATAACAGCAATTTGTTCTTTGCCAGCCAAGTCATCAACAACGCCTGCGCCACGCAAGCTATCTTGTCTATCTTGATGAATAGGCCCGAGATTGTAATTGGACCTGAATTGAGTCTGCTCAAGGATTTCACGAAGGAGTTTCCGCCTGAGCTGAAGGGATTGGCAATCAACAATAGCGAGTCGATAAGGACAGCGCATAACAGCTTTGCACGTCCTGAGCCTTTCTTGCACGATGATCACAAGGTCGCTGACAAGGATGATGACGTGTACCATTTCATCAGCTATGTGCCCGTGGATGGGGTGTTGTACGAGCTGGATGGTTTGAAGGAAGGGCCCATCAGTTTGGGACCATGTGGTAGTGGGAAAGATGACAAGCAGTGGTTGAAATTAGTTCAGCCGGTGATTCAAGAACGGATTGAAAAGTATTCCAAAAGTGAAATTAGGTTTAACCTGATGGCGGTAATTAAGAACCGAAAGGACATTTACCGGAATGAATTAGCGCAGATGGAGGAAAGGAGGGCAGGGTTATGGGGGTTGCTTCAAGGGTTGGGAGGGGGAGGTGGTGGAGGGGGAGGTGGTGGTGGAGGGGATGGGTCCATGGATATAGACCATCCGTCGGCTTTGATTCATCATCAGAACAGGCAGATGCATCAGCAGGCGGAGCAGCTGCGCGCCGCGCTGGCTCAGATCGACACGGAGATCGCGAATGTGACGGAGAAGATTGCTGTAGAAGAAGACAAGTTCAGGAAATGGAAGACGGAGAATGTGCGGCGCAAACACAACTACATTCCCTTCCTCTTCAACTTCTTGAGGGTGTTGGCTGAGCGGAACAAGCTCAAGGGCCTCATCGAGCGGGCGAGACAAAAGGCTTAAAGAGAGAGAGAGAGAGAGAGA